CTAAAGAATCCCAAGATGTGTTTACAATATTAAAGAAAAGAGAGATATTTGTTGCTTAATCGCACTTGGGAAATTTAGCAGGGTTTATATATCTGTGAGCTAAGCAACTAAGTGGCCAAGTAACTAAGCAATTAAACGACTAAGCAACTAAGTGACTAAGCAATTACTAAGCAACTGAAAGGTTCTAGCAACTAATGACTAATGATTACTAAGTGACTAATTACTAAGTGACTAAGTGACTAAGTAGCTAAGTGACTAAGTGACTAAGTAATTACTAATTAACTGGAAAGTTCTAGCAACTACTAGTAATATAATAATAATACAATAATAGAATAACTAATACTAAATAATAATAATAATAAAATAATAACTAATAATAATAATAAATAATAATAAATCATTCTATAATAACATCTTTTCAGCTAACTTATATAAGACAAGCTGTATTACCAATAGAAATAAATCTGCTAATAAAAGAAACTAATGCAGAAATAAACTTAGAAAACAGTATTTTGTTGTAAACTTTTGATTTAATAGACAAACTACCAGAAGCACAAGAACAAGCTAGACAAAATACAGAAGTATCATAAGAAAAACAAAAAGAAAAATATAACCAAAAACTAAAACCAGAAGAATTTGAAGTTAGATATAAAGTTTTAATCCAACAAAAGAATATAGAAGCTTTACATTTTGCAAAGTTTAAAGATAAAAGAACTGGACTATTTGCTATCTATGCTAAATTAGAAAATAGTACTTATTAACTTTGCAACAACAAGAGCAAAATTTTACAAAAATACTATAATAGTGATTATTTAGAATGATATCATGAATGACAAAATTGAGAACCACAAGTTGTTATTAAAATTGTGCCTCATGAAACCTAATATTTTTTTTTACTTTTATAAACATTACTTATTTACTTATTATTTTTATTACTTATTTTTTTATTATTATTTTATTATTATAAAAAAAGAAACTTAGTACAAAAATTAAAAAAAAATAAAATATCAATTATATTTAATATAGAATTTTATTATTATTATTATTACTATTTACAAAATATTACAAAAATATTTTTGACTCTCTCTTTCTCTTAACCTTCTTCACAACTCCTGGACCTCATCTTCTAAATTTGCAATCCAAACTTATAGCAAATTTCTTTTCATAACTACCTGCTTGTAGATAGTACTTTATTGTCATTCTTGTTAGATCACCTCAAAATTCGGAGAAGTTCTTTCACTTGCTTTAGCCTTCAAATTTGCAACTTGATTTTAAAGAGAGAACAAACAAATAGAAATTGCTTGATCTTTGCTTTGACAAGGCATCTATAAAGCAAAAACTTAGAATATATATTCTAAATAGTATACTTGAAATGATAAAAAGAAAAATATTGAAAACAGTTAAATGTTGGCCACTACCTAACTGCAAGAAAAAAAAAGGGAATAACAAAAAAAAATTGCTACTGAGGCCAAAACAGATTATCTGCCTAGCTTACTCAGATAGATGACTGGCCTTATCCTACAGTGCCTTAATATTAGACAAAACAAGCTTATAGCCTGAAAAGTATATATATCTTAGTGAAAAACAATAGATAAAAGAACAAGTTTATTAACAAAAAGGTTTTTTAATAAGAAAACTAGTAAAAAAAGAAAATAAAATAAAAAGTTTTGTAGATTAAAACACAGGAAAAATTAAACAAAATAAATAACAAAAATACAACAGAAAATTAGAATTTTATTAATAAACAAAGAACAGTTACAACAAAAACAATGTGATTACTAATTTTAGAAATAGATAAACCAACTAAAACAAAGTTGATAATTTTAGACAAATTAGTAAATAAGGTTTAAAAACCTCACTTTTTAAGAAAAAGAAGATACAAAAAACATTATAATTACAAAAATAAAATAAAATAGACATGTGGTGATACAAATTTTACCCAAATTTTAGAACAAAGAATTATTTAACATGTATTGTAAACAATGTAGCCTTAAATAAAATACAAAGAAGAAGCATGTGTTAAACAAATTTAGTTGCTAGTAAGTATGAAACAGCATGAGTTAAGCAAAATTAATAAGAGACAGCATGAGTTAAATGAATTACAGATTATTGTGCCAAAGATTGCTTGGCATAGAAATGTAAAAAGAATTTAATAGATATAAAAAAGTCAAAAAAATGTTTTCCTTTAATACTAATTTTCTTTATACTTTTCAAACAAACCTATAACAATCTTAACAACAATAAACCCATTACAGAACTTATCAATATGGGTTATCTTGCAAATTTACTACAAAGCTTTTGAATTATAGAACCTCTGTAAACAAGTACAACATCCAGATACTATTATCTGTAATGCCAATAGTATTGCTATTATTTTTAATATAGAAACCTCATACATGTTGTCAACAATCCATAATAATGATCTATTAACAAAAATAAAAATAGATCTGCTTAACAATGCACCAAGCCAAATTTTTCTTATAATAATACTAATGATTATTACATCAATATAGAAAAATTGCTATATCAAGATTATTGATATATATTAGTTAGTTGCCAGCTTCTCTAACTATAACTAAATACACTATTTAGCTTATAGCTATGATTTAGAAGTCCTATTAGTAGACAAACCAGATTATAACAAGTTCATAAAGGCAAGTAGAATTAAGGTCTAGACTAGAATTTATTGATTGTTTAAAGCTATTAGCTATGAACAAATATATTAAACAAAGAAACAGATTTTAAAACATATTAGTGATATGAATAAAGACAAGTTTAATTAATTAGTTAATTTTTGTGAATGGTACAAAAGTTATAGAAATTTTGTAGAACAAAACTCTTAAAAAGAGAAAAATGAGGATGTGATGACCTAGTGAAGTGGTCAGGTTGTCAACTCTCCAAGTGGTAGGTTGGGTGTTCAAATTTTATCAATAGTGAAAATTTGAATAATCACCTATATAATATTTGTATTATGGCAATTGTTACTAACAATTGGGTTAGGATACCTGTAATGGCGGTCGCATCAGCATGACTGGCAGGTCATGGGGCATCTGTGCAATGTTGAAGTTATACAGAGAAATGCAAACCAACAAGTTAGGTAGTGCAAACACTAGATAAGTCCTTGTGGCTGTGTAAATCTGTTGAAATTGAGTAACAAAAAGTTCATTTAGAAAGATCTAAGTAGAGAGGTAGCTGGATCTTTGATGGCCCTACTGTAAAGACTAGCCTGGCGAAATAGATATCCAGATCTAGTACTCAGTCCTAGTAGCTGGACAGACAAGAACCTCTAAGATGAAAGTTTTGAAGGTAACACCAACCAGGCTGCCAGAATGAATCGAAGGAAAAGGATATCAGGCTGACCTGATATACTGATAGACTGGTCATAGTCCTATATAGGCTATCTGGATTGGGAGTTTGGTAAAAGGACAGAGGAAAAGGCAGAAGTATACTAAAGTACCAAGATTATACTATGAAGTAGATGCTGGGGTCTAAGTGAACTCTACAAGGTTATAGTGGTTTAATGGTTAGCCCTGACCATAAGTATTAGTTCTGCTATAGCAATACTCAGGTCAGCTGTAAAAATGAATACAGAAGACTTTGGAGGGTTTACCTCAAAAATAAATTAGTCCTAAGGTTGAGAATGATGATCTGGTATATCTGAGATAACTAGTGATGTTAATACAGTGTTACAGGGTTGCAGCCTTCTTGGTACAATACAACCAAGTAACAAGGTTACCCGGTACAGTGATTGACTATTGCAAATATATACGGGGTGGAGGTGTAGTAGTTCACTTTACTACACAGCAGTAGACAAACGGTTTGAGATAATAACAGTATATAGATTAACTTTTATTAAATAAACACATAATAACAACCTTGCCTGTAGGAATTACCCTAGAGGGGGAATATCACATTTGATCATTAAAAGGTTATTATGTCTAGGTTGAAGTGTAGGAACTTAGAATTGGCAAGAAAGGAGAAAAGGTACCCTTTATATATCTTTTTACCTAGTGGGGGTAGTAGGGATTGTGTGGAGGTAAGTGGAGTTTGTACAGGGATAGTTGGGACAATATTTATGTGTATTTGTTATTTGTACTTGTAACACTTGGAGCATGTGTCAAGGTACTTGGGTCAAGGTACTTGGGTCTGTGTAGGGACAGTTGGGATTGTGCAGGAACACTTGGAGATTGTGTTGGGATACTTGGGATTGTGCAGGGACACTTGGGGATTGTGTTGAGATACTTGGGGATTGTTTGTACTGTGGTATTTGGCACAGTAAATTGTACTAAGATACATGAAACTTGTGTAGAGGTACTTGGAGTTTGTAAGACAATAATGACATCATAGATGTTACCCAATGTCATGTGTCTGTATCACACTTCTAACAGCCAATTAAGATCCTTTTATCTATCTACTATATAATATAATATAACTATGCTAATAACTAATAATAAATATAATATAAAATACAATAATGAATATATAATAACTACTAATAGTATAATATACTATGCTATTAGGGTGATAAACAGACTAAGTAATCAAACCTATGTCAGATATGTTAATCATTTTACTATGATCAGGATTTTTATCACAGAAAATTAAATAATTTATTAAATAATTTGAACTATATAAAAAAAGCGCAAACTTTGAAAAGTTTTATGCAAATATCGCACTTGTTTTTCTAAATTTTTTTTAACTAGAAACTATTTGTAAGGATTATTTAAAAATAATTACACTCGATTTTTGTGAAAGTTTTTAATAAAGTCTCAATTTACATATTAAATACTATTTTTTTTGATTTTTTTGTTAAAATTTGGTATATTCTATTAGTCAAAGCCTCAAATTTTATATATCAATAAAAGATCTTTGAGTGTAACTTTATTCCTTAATACTTTATAAACAAATTGTGAAAACTTCAAGGTAATTCGATTTTTCTATAGTGAGTTGAAATTATTTTAAAAATCAATTTTAATATATATATATATATATTGGTAAAGATGCCAAGAATCTCTAAATGCAAACTTCAATCACGCCATGCATATCAAGCTTCAGCAAGTAAACAAAAGGCTATTCAACGTGAAAAATATATTTGTGATATCAATCAAATTTTAATACAAACAGATGATGATGAATTAAGGTCAATTTATCAAAACATTATTAAAACAAATGATGATAAAAAGGATCGAATTACTTATCGTCAAAAATTAATCAATATAATCGAACAACTACCTGACAATGAATTAAAATCTGCAATTAATTTAC